CTGCCATGAAACATGATAAAAGTGTAAAGAGTGGTTTGAGCGAATATAACGAAGTTTCAGAGGTGCGCTAAGAGGATTTAATAAATTTGTTAATATTTTATAATATTTTATATATCATGCGCGCTCAAAGAAAGTTATGATAAAAGATGCTGCTATATTAGTTCGATGCAGGAGAATTTTAGTAATAGATCTGGGTAAAGTGAAACTTTAGTAGTAGTGAACTTTATAGGCTTTAAGAGTTATTAAGGTAGTACTCGATGGGCATTGAGAAGGGTTGTGACAAATTTGGCAGGTTTTCAAGGAAATAAGTGAGTTTTTTTTCAAATAAACATGCATTAATATATATTCATGCATATGCTTTTATAGCTTGTAATTTTTTAAAATATTTTACCCAGTTTTGTAATATTTATCGATTAAAAAAAAAACTTTGCATGGAACATTATTTCATGCAAATGAAAAAACGCAATTATCCATGGCTTGATTCAGTTTTTTTTTTTTTTTTAGCTCATAAAACTTTCTTCAATTATTGTTTTATTTATTGTTAACTGAAATTTTCTTGTTTTTTAGTGATATAAAATTTTTATTGGAACGAAAAATTTCTTCTTCTGAGCAATTCGCATCAATTCTAATTTGTTTTACTGCTTTAACTACTAACTTAAAACACTAATATTTTCGCTAATTTAAATAAAATATAAAGGTGAATTACCGATTTTATTTTTAACGATAGTTTTATTTCTATCAAGGGAAATGTTTCGATTATGAAGAAATTTTTCATAAAAGCTATGAAAGCAATGAAAGAACTGCAAATGAAATAATGAAAGTCGATCTCTTTTATGAATATTCTCAGTAGTTTTGTTTGTAAATTTTTTTTCCTTTTCAACTAGAATTATTCGAAATTTTAATTTCAATTTTTCAAATATATATTGAAATAATAAATTTTAAATTACGAAAAAGCATTAATTTTGATAAAATTCTGATATGATTATTTTAAATCGCTTTTATCAGTTAAGTTTTTTTTTGGAAATTAAAATGATTTTCGAGATTATTATTTTTAAGTTTGATAAAAGATTTTCAAGACAAATGATTGAACAACTTGTATCGCATGTCGTTATTGAATTTGAATATATTCCATAAATATCGAAATTTTATATTCCATAATTATTTAAATTTTATATTTTTCGATGATAAAAAACTAGTGATAAAATGATAATGACAAAAAACGCTAAAGAAAATTTTAACATTTCAACTAAATATATGATTTATCTAAGAAAATATAATTTAAAAGGAAAAAAAAAAATTTGATTAATTGGCGAGAAATAGCGATGTTTGAGTTGGCTAGCCTAGGCTAAATCGTTAGCACCGACACCACAGGGAATATGATGTCAATTAATTTTCATCACAGTTATAATAAATTGAGTTTAATGGCTACGCTCGCAAATAATTCTGATCTTTCCAGCTAAAGTTGCTAATTTATATTTTTGCTTAGAAAGAAAAAATAAATTTTCTAAAATTTTGACTTTTTAAGAAAATTTTCTAAAAAATATTTTGTGCAATTTTTTTAAAATTTTGATTTTTTTTTTTGGAAATAAAAATATTAATTATAAATATTAAATAAATTTTCATAAATATTTTAAAATATTCGAGAATATTTATTAAAAATTTAAAAAAAAAAACATTTTTTGAAATTAATAATCAGCGATTAAAATTTATTTTTAAATAATTTCGATGAATTATAAAAATTCTAAAAATTATTTATATTTTTCATATTTTTATTTCATTTTTCATTCAAATCACTTATGGATTTAGATTTTTTGAATAATTTCATGCCAATTTCTACAGATCTCTACAAAATGACCATGTGCGGTTTAACCAAAAGTGGAATCTGCAAATTTACTGAATTAAAAGCTGGTCAACTTGGGATTACCAAACAATTGGTAAGATTCAATTCATGAAATACAAATCCAATCATAATAATGATAATAATGATAAATAATACTTTGCACTTATCATTTCTGGTTAGGCTTGCTCCACTCGCTTAGATGACAAAAGATGTATATTTTGTATATTTTGTGCATTCGACTAAACTAGCCTGAGAGTCACAAAGCGTCGCCTTCGCTGGTTAGGGCACATTCTCCGTCGTTCACCTCAGGAACTGACGCATATTTCGTTACTTGCTAAACCCTGTGATGGTTAACGTTAAAAGCGAGGAGGACCTATCAAGACCTGGACTGATACATTCATGAAAAATTTTCAATGTATAGGGGGACCAGCGATATGTGGACTTAGACGATGGAAAAAAGAATGGTTTCTATTAATACTAGCGATGGCGTCGGACCGAGCAACTTGAAGGCGTCTTAGCCAGCGGAGTCAGCCTAATCGTAATGATGATGCCCGTATAATAGTATTTCTGATTAATTGCATTTCATATTTCATAAATTAATTTAATATTTCAATGAAATAAGAATTGCAAGAAATTTTTTTTTCCTCTTTTAAGCTATATTCAATAAGATTTTATTTGATTAAAATAGAGTGGTGTTTATCAATTTTTCTTTTTGAGATAAATATAGAGATAGTGGGTGATTAGCTATCACCATTTCTGAGTTCTCTTCGCTGATTATTTATGCGGTTAGAAATTTTTTAGAAATTTTCGTAATCAGGAAGCCAATTGGCTTTAGAAACATAGACAAGTCACCAACGTCATCTCGATTTCTTGATGATAAGTTTATTTTTGTCTGAAGCAGGAAAAGAATTTGTTGATTTTCAATAAATAATCTAAGCCACTAACAATACAGTTACCCCTATCTCTTGTTTTTTGAAACGAATGATTAGAAGGAATTTTCTTGAAAATGATTTCAGGTTTTACGAATTGCTCTTCCACATATTACTCTTCTATTTGCAGCAATAAGTTATGCAATATTAGGCAGTTTTTGCTTAACAGCTTTAGGTTATATGAGTAGTGAAAGTTCCATTATGCAAGAAATTGAAGGGTATGTTAATTTCGAATTCCTAACTCTTGCGTTCTTTTTTTTATAATATATTTTTTTCAATTGGCATCAATTATTTTTATTTTATTTTTATTTATTTATTTATTTTTATTTTTCAGGATTAAGAAAGAATTTATGAATAAAATTCTCAAAATTCGTTTTCATTCTGGTTCAAATTATCAAATTGATTATTTTTTAAAACGTTTTGATAAGCAAATTTATGAGATTTTTTCTCAACATCCCAAATTGGCAATTCAAAAAGAAATTGTATCGAGCGAGGTTGAATTTAAAATTCGATTTTAAAACTATTTAAAATTATTTTATTTAAATTTTTATTTTAAAAAATTAAATTTTTATTTTTCTTTGTATTTTTTTATTATTTTAATGAAATGTAGAAAATAAATTTTGTAAAAATATTGAAAATCTACTGAATAAAAAGAATTTTTAATCTTATCAGATTTTTATCTCCTTCATTTAAAACCTTCTATAATAAATTTTTTGCCTTTTTTTTCGCAGTATTATTGTTAATACCTTAAAATTTGCATAATACGATAAATCTAGGGCTGATAAGGCTCTGATAAGACAAATTCGGACGTGATAAATGATGAGGCTTTATTAGTTATACTAGTTGTTTTCTTTGTTGACTTACATTAATTTCTTAATTTCAGTTAAGTGGATCACTTTTGTCGAATATCACTCGAAATTTATTTTTCACAGCAACCACTTTGACTTCAATCGGTGATCCCTTCTGAATCGTCTTTATCATATCTTTAATAAATAATCTAATCATCTATAGATTAATTAAATATTAGCCTTCTTATTATTTATAATGAAAAAAAGAAAAAAATGTGCAAATGAAACAATTTAATTATTTTTATAAAAGATGGAAATGGTTTAAAAAAAGAAATAGCAAAAAATATTAAATACCTTTAAATGTACCTTTATGGTATCAAAAAGTCCACGTTCCTTTGCAAAGCGAGGAAGGCGTTCTCGATTGTTGCATCGAATGCAATATTTAAGAATCACGGAGGCCTGCGATATAAAAAGATTTGTTAAAAATGCGCGATTTATCATTTAATTTTTTTTTTATTGATAGAATAAAATTCTCAAGAATTTGAACTAATTTATCTCGAAAATATGTAATTCATTTAAAATAATTTCGTTGATTTCATCAAACAAACTATATATAAACTAATTATTAAATTATTGATAAATAAATAACGAATAAATTATTGCATTAAATAATGTATAGTTGTGTTGACTTAAAAAGATTTTGAATAAAGATGGAAAATTTACTATAAGAATCGCTATTTTTTTCGCTTTTTATAGTTCTTTTTTTTTAGCGTAAATGAGCGAAATAGCATAAAAATATTTCTTTTTTTTTTTTTTTTAAATAATTTTAAGTATTCATTAATGAATAATTGAAGTTCAACTGAAATTAGGCTATTCATAATTTAGTAAATTTATCAAATATTACTTAATTAATATTATTTAATTTTTAACATATTTAAAAATTTAAAGGCTATGGAACAAATACGCCGGATTCAGTTGCTGGCCGAATATTCATTATTTTTTACATTCTTATTGGCATACCGCTCTATTTAATCACACTTGCAGATTTGGTTCGTCTTTTAAATATGAGCAATTTCAATTTTTTTTTCGTCTTTTTGATGAGATTTTTTTTTAAATTATAATTTTAAATTCTAAATTTTGATTTTAAATAATTATATTTCCTATTATAAAATCAAGTGATAAGAACTCTGTGATAAGAACTTTCTACGAAATGTCTCATTATACACACTTTGGTGGTGAGGTCTGATTTCACAAGGAGTGAACCTGTTTAAAAATTCGGATAATGCTGGCGACTCATTTGTACTCATTTGTACTTCTATCGCTATGGGACTTCCTGGCATATCTGTCTAATGCAACAAACCAGCGGAGTGAGTTTAACCAGTAATGATGAGGACTCTTAAAAAAAAAAACGAAATGTCTCATGGGATGATCGAGTGATATCTTGCTTTGAAGATGCTTCACCAGTCAAGTTCGACCTCTTCTTTGATAACTGTAAACCGACTATTAAAAGTAAAGTAATCTTGGTAGTGCTTGAGGCCTATATTTGTACTCTTATCCTTCAAGTGGCAAGTCTTACCTTAGTAATCAGCATTACAACCAACTCAATACAGAATACAATGTAATCCAAATGAATTCGTAAAAGTCCAGATTTTTTTAATATCAAAATAAAAGTAATAATTTTTTGAGAAAACTTAAATAATTAAAATAATCTAAAAATAATTATATAATTATGATTATTATATAATTATAATTACATAATTAATTAAAAGTAATAATTTAATAAAAATAATTAAAACAATTTATAATAATTAAAAACAATTTTTTAATATCTAAAAAAAAATTATTATTACAGGCAAAATTTTGTACTGAATTCTTGGTTAGATCATATACAGAATTACTTAAGCAAAAATTTAATTTTTTTCTAAAATATCGTCGTTGGCGAACCGATCATCGTCGTCGCCAGAGTATTATTGAAATACTCGATATAATTATTGCCGGAGGCGAAGATGAAGTTTTTTTATTTAAATATTTTTTAATTTTATTTATTTTTTTATTTTTTATTTTATTTTTTTTTCTTTTTTTTTTTTTTTATTATTCTTTTTTTAAATTTTAATTCATTAAAAAAACAATAGACTGTATGGAATTCTGTTGAAGATTGCTGAATTCTTATGGACACATCTCGAGAATGCCCAATTCGTTGAATTACCTTTTATGCTGGTTTATGTATTACTATTAATTTATGCAATTATTGCTAGTCTTATTATATCAAAAATCGAAGGATGGAATATTTACGATGGTTTTTATTTTCTTATGATGTCAATTCTAACCGTTGGATTTGGAGGTAAATAATCTTTATACGGCATAATATTTTTATAACCTTTATTATAAAAAAATTTCATAGGGATTTTTCTTCTTTGCTTTGATATCTAAGAGAAAAAAAATGAACTTATGGATTTATCGCAATAGTCAAGAAATAAGCAAATTATTTCGTATATGAGGGATAGGATAAGCGAATGAATATTGATTAAGATTATTGAGTCGATCGACTCGTTTTCTCAATAGCCTGTTATTGAAAAATTCGATTAGTACTGTGACCTGTATTTTTATCGCTAGTTGATTCACTTTTTTTTAAAGAGCCCTTATCATTACTGATTATACTCGCTCTGCTGACTTATCACACTAGGAAAATATACTAATCTTTAGCGATAGAAGTACAGGTGAGTCACCAGCATCACTAGAATTTCTGGACAGGTTTACTTCTGCCGAGAGTACATTTGCATCGGCGCTTCGAATTGAGTAATAACCCACTGAATCATTCTATGCCCCAAATGATCTTCTGCTATATTATTAGGCGATATACATATCTATCACAGAGAGGGATAGAATGGCTCAGTGGGTTGTTGCTCAGTTTGAAACGCTGATGCTGGTATTTTATTCGCGCAGGAATCCAAAAACCTGTCCAAAAATCCAGGTGATGTTGGTGATTCACCTGTATTCTATCGCCAAAGGGATTCTGGCATATTTTTCCAATGTGATAATCCAGCGGAAAGAGTTTAACCAGTAATGGTGAAGACTCTTTAAAAAAAAAAATTGCAGATTTAGTGCCTCGAAATCAAAAATTTGCATTATTCACGTTAATTTTAATAATTGCTGGATTAATTCTTGCAACAACTTGTATCGATGTCGCTGGTGCCTATTATATAAATCGCTTACATTTCTTTGGTCGTCGTGTTGATCGTGAAGTAAAACATTAATTAATTATAATTTTCAATTTTAAAAAGACAATTTTAAATAAAAAAAATAAAAGTTAATTTAAATAGGTAAATAAGAGGATCGTGGAAAAATTTCAGGATCCACTTTCATGGCTTAAAGCTGTTCAACAAAAAAGGATCGATGTTATGAAACGAGAAGCGATGCGAAAATTATTTGAAACCGTTACTGCTTTACAACATCTTCGTCTTGGCAGTAAGATTTTCTTTATATAATTTTCATAATTTTTCTTATTTTTTTTACCGATTTACCAATTTTATTGTTTATTGATGCGTAATAAATATAATATTTTTTATTTTTTCTGAAGACAATGCATTAAGTTGGTTATTTTAAAAAAAATTTATTTCTTAAAATGAAATTTTTTTGAAATCCACTGCAATTTCTTTTTTATTACGATCACTTGTAACTTGTAATTGTAATTTTTTAGACATTCAGTGTGCACAGTCAAATAGAACGGAAGCGAATTTTGATGGAAATCGCTGTAAGTTTCTGTAATCAAATTGACGACGAATTTATATGAATTAAATACCAATGAAATTTACCTATTCAAAAACTTAAACCACTTCATAACATAAATCGTAAATGATAGAGCTTCGTTTCAAGTCAGTTTTGCCGAGACCAAACATAGGGTCCTCCTGGATCTCGTCGAGGTCCTATTGGATTTGACTTAATTTCGATTCAGTTTCTTATTTAGTTTACATTCACTTAATTTTTTATATTAATGGTTCTCTTTTGACCGTGAAAACTTTGATTTATCATTTATTCTTCGTTCTAAAACCGTAAATTCCAAAACAATAAATAAACTATTTATTTATTGCCCACAACCGTGCGATATTGTATTGCCTTCCTGTCCTATTAGGTGAGAAGGGGACAAGCAGGCTCATATAAAGTAAGTAGGATGAGGTACATCTAAAGATAAAAATTCAAAAAATGAGCATAGGGCAAAAAGACAGAAAATTCGTTTGATGAATCGAAAAATTTGTAGAATTGCAATAAAAAATTTCTTAGGTCAGCCAGATCCTCCACAAGATTTGATCGCATATAATTCGACTGCACAATCAGTTATGCTTCATTGGAAAAGGCCACTCCATCTAAATGAGGCAGTAAAATATTGGTTTACAATTACTTACAAAACGAGGTATTTATATATATTTATATATTTATATGATATTTATATATATTTTACTACGTTAGTGCTTGTATTTATATGCATCGAAAAAAACAAAATTCTGTATGTTAAATAGCATGATCTATTCCTTAAATCTGGTTATGTCCCTCTAGAACTCTCTTCATAGCAAAAATAGCAAAAATACCACTTAATCCTTCCTTTTAGGTTATATATAACTCTTTCAAACCGTGTTCTGTGAGCCTGTTATGCTGTTAATCCCTCTTATAACTTTATTAAGTTCCTTTAATGTTTCATTAAATCTAGTTGTATTATTCTGTCGTATCTTATCACTATTTCAACAAACCTGTTTATATTGTCTTAATCCCTTAGATACTATTATGGCTCTATTCTTCAGAATTTCTCTCTACTGCCCAAAAAAAGACGCAACTTCTTCAATCACCTTTAACACCAGATTAAAGCATATGACTTCATTCTTTAAACTCCATTGTTAACTCTACTGTAATATTCTAAAATGATACCAAATAAAGTTGTGCCATTTTGCTGTAACCGACTAATACCTGCTCAAAACTATGCTAAACATGAGTATTATTTTAGTCCATCGGAATTGTTTGATATCCCTATCATTTTTGTAAAAAATCAAGACTCCAAATATTCCTTTGACCTTCTTAAAAGTCTTGTTCATTCATTTGCCATAATTTATAGGAGACATAATTTTAAACCTCTTTCTATCGCTTGGAATCAAGCAAACTTAACTTTATCCTCTTAACCTTATTCCCTTCAACAATCCATTTTATTCCCTTGTAGTCCTGTGGAAATTTGCAGTGCATTTTTGCCATTACCTCAGGTGTCAATTAAGAAATTACAAAAATGGTAGCATCAAAACTGAGCGCGAAGAAATATCGCTGGTTGAAAGATTGTTAAGAGAATTTGACAGGCTTTTAGGTAATCAGGAACTATTGCAAATCGAAATCGAAGTAATTCGATTTACCACCATGTTCATAAATTTGCACTGATTTTATTAATATTTTTCGAGTATTTAAGGAAGTATGTGGCCAAATGAAAATCGTTTTTTAATTTCGTAATCTCTATTCGTTGAAAATATATTTATTATTTTAGAACTCCTCAAATATTGGACAATCCAATAACTATGATCGATTTTATCAATTCAGATCGATATGAAGTACGAAATTTAAAATCGTTCACCCTATATGAATTTACAGTTGTAACCACAACGAGATTTGGTAGCAGTAAACCAGTGAGATGCCAGGAATATACGGGTATTCTTTAAAAGAAATTGTTTTATTGTTTTATTATATTGTAATAATGAATAGATGAATCGTACTAATGAAAAAGATGAATATGAAAATCTTGCAGAACCATGTACCGTTCCACAATTACTCCGCTTAACTGCCTTTAGCAGTGAAACTGCAACTTTTTCTTGGAGGGCACCGAGAAAAAACAATGGTCCAGAAAGTTATGTGATTCAATTTAGTCAAGAGCCAGCTCCTCCCTTTCATTTTTGGCAACGATACAAATGTGGCAGCTCAAAAACTTATACTATCACCGGTCTAATGCCTAATACAAGGTATTTTATTATAGTCATTTTTTTAACGCATTCAGAAAATAAACAGCTTCAAAAGCATAAAATTATAATTTTCATCAAAAAATATTTTTCGGACCAAAACACTGGAAAAGTTTCGTGTCACAAACCTAATGTCATTGAAGAATAAATCTCATAATATTTAACTGAAAGAAAGAGGAAGAGGAAAGAGGAAGAAATAAAAAAGAAGAAATTTAACTGAAAGATTAAATAAATACAGAAATTTAAAGCATAAATAAATATATAAGCTTCTATCAACAATCACTATTTTTGTCTTAGGGCCTTGCTCTACTTTCTACCTTTTGCAAGAAAAACACTTGCAGATAGAAATACACATGGATCCTCAGTACCACCTGGACACGATTTTTAATAATGAGTCTATTCCTGTCAAGAAGCAAAGATCGAACTCATGTTCAATCCCAGTGAACTTAATAAAATTCTACCTACAGCTAAAATACCACTTTAAATCGTTTAGAAAGACATGATGAAATAAAATATGGGAACTGTACCTTGTAAATAATAGATTAAAAATATTTGTTCAAAAACGTTTTAACAAAATTTGGCCGGCCACCTTGATCTTATCAGCGGGTCCAGATCTCTTAGGAAGTTTAATACAAGCCTTTCCTTTTCCATTTCATATTCTTTGGCTAATGTATAGGCAAATTTATCAAAGAAAGACTATATTACATAAAATAATATGTCTATAAAGTTAAATGATCATCGCGAATGATCCATATTTTACAGGTATATTGTATGTGTATCAGCTGAACATAATTTCGGCCTAGCTGCTATGTCAAAAAGTCTACGATTCCAGACAAAAGAGTGGTATCTGGATGATACAAACGAGTTTGCACACGAGTCATATCGCCGAATCATTCCTGCCCTTGATGCAGAAACGTGGATACTCCTCCCCAGGCAGTTATCACGATGAAGCTATGCATATCGCAAACTATTTCAGAACATCGTTGTTCATTGAAATAAATGTCCAAACTCGGAAAGCCATAATCATTTATTTTGATTTAAAATTAGATATATTATTTATTATTTAAAAGTTAAACCTTTAATAGACTTAAGCCTTTAATAATGGTTTTTTTTTAAAAAAAATTACAATAACGATGCTCAAATAAACAAATCGGCACCACAAATGCACTAATTTATAAGGTACCATAACGCCTAATAAATTAATTAAAGGAAAAAACCGAAGTTTTTTTATTTCACCGTGTAAAAAACACAAACTTTTGTTTTTTTTACAAATAAAAATAAAAATAATATGAATAACCTGAAAAAAACAATTGAATTAACAATAGTTTCGAAAAAGAAAGTCAATATAAAATATATAAAAAAAATTTTTAATCTAAAAACTAGCAATGCCTTAAATTTATTATAAAAAATTAACAACGTATTATTTATGCATTCACTGGTATTCGTAAATTTTCACAGTGCAACTAAATAAGCTAATAAAAATGAAATATAAATGCATGAAATAAAATACAAAATAAATTATGTTGTATGAAATTATAAAATATAAGCTGAAAATAATAAAAAAAAAAAGAAAATAAATAATTTTCATAAAGAATAGCTAACAGATTCAAAGAAGTCGCATTTATGATGAGATTTTGAAGTATATTTTTGAGCGGAAAACAACAAGAGATAAGATATAAGGCAATAAAAAGAAACAATGTGAGCTGAAAAATAGAAAAAGCCACGGAATACCAATAGCAACCCCATTGTTCTATACTTTAAGGATTTCTAAATATTTATCATAACAAATTGCGATCCACTCGGGAAAAGCAGCTGACCAATGCACCTGATTTATCTATAATAGTATCAATTAAAAAAGAATATTAAAAAAAAAATAAAATCTTTCTTTACAAAATATAGGAAAAAATGTCAACGATTTTGGGTGATTAATTGGATTCAAAATATAAATTTGAACAATTGATAAATCAAACATGCTCTCTGAATCAAGCAAAAGATGATAATAATGAATGATTAAATGAATACCTCGCCGTCAGCTTGATATGCTAATATGGGATCTTCAACAGGACGCATTATATAATGCATATCCCAAATTAAAGCTTGATTATCATCACCTGAACGAGAAAATTTAAATAATTATTATGAAAAAATAAAAAAAGTACAAAAATGGCCTCAAAAATAGAAATCAAATCCAATCCAAAAATTAAAACTATAAAATAGAATCGCATTTTATCAACTGAATAAATAAAAATTTATTTACAAATCAATCATAATGATAATCTTATACGTTGAAAAATTTCAGCTAATGGAATATTATTGATAAAATAAGGAAATGCAATGAATACTATAATATAATACAAAGTAGAGAAGTAAAACAATATATGATGGACTTTTTTAAAAAATTTACCGGCAGTACAAACATGATAAGGAGTATATGGTGACCATGCGATTCCGTTAACTGTTGCATGATGGTTGCGTAATTTAGCTATAGCTTTGTTTGGTATTCGGACATCGATAAGTGGCACCTAAATTTGTCTACTCCAATAAGAATTTTTAAAATATTTAAAAATGGTTACCTAAAAAATTTAAATTTCATAATAAAAAAATAAACCTCATTAGAACCTTGTGCAATAAAGGCAATATAATTTGAATCTTGCTTATTGCAAGCGAGACGAAGAAGTGGAGTTCTTGAAGGTTCTTCATAAATTATCGTTGAATGCTCTAAATGACGCATGTCGAAAATACGTATACTTCCATCAGCTCCTGAAATTAAATTTTCGCTTTAGAGGAAAATATGAAAAAAAATAGAGAAGTAAAAAAAAACAAGAACTAAGAACAATTTTTTGAGCTCATTTGTACCTTAACCAAAATATATATACACATTGTATGTGTACCTTTCTCTTATTTTAGTTATAATCAAACTTATGGGAATTTCATAATTTTCTTATATATATATATATATTTTCATTATATTTTATTTTCTCTTATATTTTCATTAGTGCTTTTAATATTTCTTTTAGTCCATTTTCTGTTATATTTTGTTACTTCAAGACAAGTTACTCAAAGATTCCTATCGAAAATGGCCAATAAGTCCTTATCCTCATAAAAAGTTTCTTTCTTAAAGACTAAATACACTCACTCCACTCCGCTCGTAAATCAGCAGAATAGGCCTTGGAAGAAGCAGCTCAATCGCACGAGAATATCAAATCCACATGTCAGGAGATCTTAACTGTTGAACGTTTCGAAAGTGTAAACAACAGCAGTATGGCGGTAAAAAAGCTATCAATGGAATGATGTGCTTCAGAATATGAAAACTACCAGTAATGTTAAGTACAATTAAGAAGACAAAATGCTACAAGCTACAATAAAGAGAAATTCTTAGAAATTCTTTCTAACAAAGTTAGCATATGATACTAAATATTTACTAAAAAAGCTTTCAAGAATACAGTACCAGCACTGGCGAATACTTCACGACCGCTACCAATGCGGGTAAACTCGACATCGCACACCTCTTTTTCATGAGCTATCAACTGTGTTTTCACTATACCATTTGTAACAGCAGCTGTAGTTCCAATCGCTTGTCCAGTCTATAAAAAAATTACAGAATCAAGTATAATTTTAAAGAAATAGATAAAGAATTTATAACTTTAAACTTCATTTTTTTATTTTCATTTAATTTCATTTTTTTTATTTTTTCAAACCTCAATTTGCCAAATTGTACATGTTGTATCGATGCTTGAGACTGCGATAATTGAAAGATCAATTTCATTCCAATCACATGAGGTTAAAGGTGCACAATACTGACTGCTTTTGTTCTTAAAATAAGAGAATACCATTCTTTCTAGGAATAAATTTCTTATTAAGTAAAAAAAATATTTTGGATTATAAAAAAATACGAGAAATCATTATCACATGATAACTACAGTAGATAAAATTTATATAATTAAAAAATATAAAAAAAATAAAGAGAAAATATTGGACGGCTGTTAACAAAAGAACATTTCGCTTGCATGTTTCGTTTTTTTTTCTGAAAAAATGATAGAATTTTTAAGAACAATCGCTTGGAACAAGCCAAGAATGAAAACCACTGAAAATAACTGATTATATATAATGTAATTTAAGAAAACCAATAGTTTACTTAAAAACCAACATTGTTAAGCCTAACTTCAAGTTTAGCACCGTTTTCACCGTCCAGTCGCCAAAGACGTAAATAATCACCGGTGGTTGCAAGTAAATCTGGATACACTCCTTTCTGCAATATTCCATCTAAATTTTTATTGTTTTGCTTATTATAGATTATCCACTTCGCAAATTCTTCGACAGTGACTACAAAAAAAAAAAAAAAATTAAAGGAAATTACGAACATGGTCGGGAATCCACATGACTTTAGTTGGTGGATAAGGATGATCAAAAGTTCCTCGATGAATTAGTTCACATGCCTCATCATCGAGTTGTATTACCGAAATCTAAAACGACAATAATTTCACATTTGAAGTTGGAATATATTAAATATTAAAGATTAAATGAAAATAGTAGGCATTACTTTATTTGCATACTCTTCGATAAAACTAGCCACAGCAACTCGAAATTTTTTTGATTTTTCAGGATGCACTGACCATCCCATTGCGAATAACGCATAAAGTGCTTCATATTTATATATTTCCTTACGCTTTCGAAACACTGAATCCATAGCATCTATCAATTAAGATATTTAAGATGTCAGAATGAGCCATCTTTTAGAAAATTGAAATATTAAATACCACATGGCTTCTCTAATCCCTAAACGTAAGTAATCCTGTCAGTCATAGCAAAATTTAGAAGACTTTAGGTGGATCATCTATGAATTCACCTCCAACTCTAACTCGTTAGGCGATGAAGATTATTTAACAGCGCCACTAACAGCATTGAGATCAATTAGTTAAAAAAGAATATTAAATATTAAAATATTAAATATCATCGTTTTGGCCTTAAATGACCGTGAACTGAACTCAACAAATCTATTAAATCTGCCAATCGTTATTAATGTCTCAGAACAATTTTTACAAACTTAACTATTAATTGATTGCAAATCATGAAAAATGATATTGACGAGATCTTACCAGCACTCTGCCCGACCTGATTTGCGCAGTCATCAATCATCCAGATTCAGCAATAGAAACAAATTAATCTAAAATAAAACAAACAAACTCATCGAATTTCAAGACAGTTACTTCATTTTCAAAGTACGAAAGTAAGAAATACTACTAAATTATAAAAAAAAAAGAATTACCCCTAAATCGATTAAATACTATTTAATCTTGTTGAAATTCAACAAATAATAATAATAATTGATTCCAATTTTGGTACCAACACCTTACGACACTTTACAGCGCGTAACACTTTTGGTTTACTCCAGTCCTCTTATTATTCTCGATAAGAAGAGAAGAAAGCTATTTGGAGATAGAAGCATCGCCTCTAAGCTAACCGAATATTAAATATCATCTTCTATCGATGATCGTGAACTTAATACATAGAATTTTACTACAATCTTAATCGATAACTACTACTAATGCAATATAAAATGAGTTAAATTATTGAGGGACGATAAAATTATTTTTATAAAAGCACTGCAAGCAAGCAAGAACGATCATCAATACCGATTAAATCAAAAATGCTCCATATTATTATAGATGAACGCTTAAAATCTTTTACCACGCTACAACCAGGCTGAAGAGAAAATTCATAAAAAATTCGAATATTTATTTCATAAATCCCAAAAATTTTATATTTGCTAACCATAATTAACCACTGGAATGGACCATGATAAAACTGTTATTCACGATTTAAAAATAAATATTCTTTAATGAATAAGAAATAAATAAATAAAATACAAAAAATTGACAAAGATGTAAAAAAACTATTACTCTCGAATATGAAAACAATCTATGAAAAATAAGAAATAAATAAATAAATAAAAATAAAAAATTGGAAATAGAGAATAAAAATATCTTAAATTTAAATTTCAAAAAAGAAACAATCTTTAAGAAATAACAGATAAATACAAATATATAAATAAAATAATAGAATAATACAAAATACAAGAAATCAATTATGATTTTGAAGAACATATAAAATGAAGAATTTATTTCATATTTTTCATTACTCATTCACTTTTTCTAGCTAAGCTAGTTCTACCGAATACTATAAAGATGGGAAATTACTTTTTCCAGGGAATCACTTGGCGACAGAAATATAAATAAACCGCCAACACCGCTTGAATTTTTCACCAACAGGTTTTATTGGATGAGACAATACCAGAACTCTAACGTTCGGTGATGAGCAACCACTCGGCTAAATTTTGTCTCGAAAAATTCTACCACCAACATACACAATTGAAAAAACAATTTAATAAACAAATTAACGTCATAAAGAGTAAGAATAACTTAACTCACTAATTTTCATCAGTAAATAGCTGCTATACTGACCAAATTTATAAAGAGGCATCCAGTATTCATTCATTCAAATTAAATTCAAGAAATTTTAGATATGGGATTCTTTCATAGGAATTAAATAGCAGAAAATAATAGAAATACTTAAATTACAATCCATTAAACTCGAAGTATTTCCATGCTTCTACCAAAACAAATACAAATCCAGTCGATATGTGCTGCAGACCAATGAACTTGATTAACCTGCAATTAATAAAATAGTCAAAATTTAAATGCCAAGCATTTAAACAAATCTTGAATTTAATTTTCAGCAAAAACTGCAAATTATAAATCGCGAATATTAATTAGCAGCCAGTAAATAAATATCTTCTATAGGAAAACCAAACCTACGAATAAAAACATCTTAAAAAGGTTCTTTACTTCACTTTATAGTACTTTTAATCGCATTTTGTTGGCCTTGGTCAATCATTGGGAAAAACTCTTGGGCATTCATAAACTTCAGTGGTAAGCAACAAAACGTTATCCAAAAAATTTTGCAGATAATCCGTAAAATCATTTGGCGCAATAAACAACAAAACCACAGAAATCAACTTTTAAGAAATATAAGAAAAAAATGTATGATAGGCTGAAAAATTGAAATAAAAAGGTCTCACTTCTCCTCCAGCCTGGTAAGCTAAAATTGGGTCTTCGACTGGTCGAGGCATTGAAGATACATCCCAAATCAATGCTTGATGGTCATCACCTAATATTAAAAGTATAGAATAATATACACATTTTTTGATTGAAACTCATTTGACTATTAATGAACTTCGGTAATAATGTTCATTACTCTAATGTTCATTATTAAACCAAAAATTAACCGCTAAAGTCAGACCTGCCGTACAAATATGACAAGAAGAATGGGGAGCCCAAGCAAGACCATTGACACAACCACGATGGTTGTGTAGCCTAGCAACAGGACTGCACGGCATGCGAACATCAATGACAATAACCTGGAAAGTACTGTAAAACAAAAGACTTCGAAATGGACTTCAACCTTCATGCAGCTCTAGCTTCCCTCATTGCTTCGTTTTTTTTAAATAGATGATTTTAAATAGATAATAATGACAAAAAAAGTGCCTCATACATCACAACGGCATCAACAATAAAAGAAACCTCTGCGGAATCTTGAGCGAATGTTGCCAAATAATGGCTATCCTGTTTGTTCCAAGCTAAACGCATTAAAGGCGTGCGAAGCGGATCTTCATAGACTATAGTAGAATGCTGCAAATTACGCAAATCGAATAATCGCGCACTTCCATCGGCACCTAAAATTGAAAACCATTCAAAGTTATTTAAAAAACGTCGGACAATTACTATCAAGTTTGTTTTGATATTAAATAAAATTTCGGGCAAAAACAAGTAAAAATGAGAAATAAAAATTTAATCCAATAAATTATAAATTTTTTACCGACAGTTGCGAAATTATCGCGTCCATTACCCATCTTCGAAAAGGAAATATCATGAACCGGTTTGTCATGAGCTATTAGTTGTGTCTTCACATTTCCAGTAACTTTTTTAGTCTGAGATAAACTTTGCCCTGTCTGAAAAATTATATCCCTCAATAATTATTGTTCTTCTCTCATTAATCAAAAGATAGTTAAAATTTTTTACAAACTAGCCGCTTAAATGGAAAAAATTAAATGGGAAAGAACGAACAGAACAGAAAATGAGAACAGGTTAGTTTTTGTTAACAGATGACAAATAAATTTCTTTAGCATATATAAGGGAAACATTCTTTTTCTAAAAGTATTTACTGAATGAAAGTATTTACCGAAGTGTCGTGAAATCTTTACCTCTATTTGCCAAATCGTGCAACTCATATCGATTGAGGACGTTCCTATTAAAGTTGGATCGACATCATTCCAATCAAAATTAGTTAAAGGACCGGAGTAATTTGACGCTTGTTTCTGAATAACGCATTTTAACGACAAAAGAGTTTCATATCTCGTTATAATTAATTTCAACGAATAGAAAAAAAGCTTACATTATTTAAAACACATTCCACAGTAGCTGTATTATTATTTTCAACACGATAAATTCGAAGACAATCACTACTAGTCGCAATTAAGTCGGGAAAAGCGTTATTCTATAAAAATTTTAAAATTTTATATTAACAATCGTTCTATTTAAGGCAAATAAGACAAACAACATTTTTATTTAACAGTTACGTTTTTCATTTCATTTAATTAAGCAGTGATGAAATAACAAAAAAGTGCTGATGAATATTTACCAGATCAGGTATCCATTCGATACAATTCGGTGGAAAAGTATGTTCAAATGAGAATCGTTCAATTAAGTCACCATGCTGTTCATCTAATTGAACTATTGCAACCTGATTTAAAATTTGATTTATTGAAGCAGAAAAATAACAAGAACTAAATCTAAACGTGAAAAAAAATCGAAAAATAACATTAAACTAAGAAAAAACTTACTCGATTATGTCCACCCTTATCTTCCACAATACTACCAACAGCAAGCCGCCAACGCTTTTCAGGATGTGTCTTACACGACCATGCACAAGCAAATAACGGACGACTGGCGGTATAGCGATAGATTTCTCGACGTTTTGGTGGAGCAGGGGCTGGGGGTGCAGCATTTGGAGTTGGTGGAGGGAGATTTTCAATGCTTCTTGGAACTGGTGGACGAGATAAATTCGATTCCAATGAGGCATCTCAAAATATTATAAACAGATTTTTAAAAAAATGAAAGAAAATTAAAATTTCTTATAGAAAATCCGACTAATTTTTAATTTTTCCTTTATTTCGAATTTACAATAAGAAAAATTTTATTTGAAAGTAACTGCATGAAAAAAATAGCTCGGAAAATAGCTCGGAAGCACCTCCTTGTACTACTCTATTATTATCCCCTTTAGTTTTTCGATTTCCCCATTTACCTTCACTTCGACGATCTTCTATGTTATTTGTATGTGTTTATATTTGTTATTTTTGCGATTCTATTAAGTACTTGATCGAAAAGCACCAATATGAAATAATCCTAAATAATTTAGAACAATTTACAATTTATTCAATAAGTGAATTATAATGAAAAAGAAATTACTAGCGAGTGTAGTAGGTATCGATTGTATACCACTTTGCGAGATAACATTTGCCATTTGATTTGCGTTGGCTACAGATGCAGCCATCATTTGATTCAAATCATGCAACATTTTCATAAAAACCTCGAAAATTCCCAAAAATTTTCACAAATTGTCAAAATTGAAGAAATTATAAAATATCTAAAAAAAAAGAAATCTTAAATTAAAATTAGCTACAAGAATAGCCAATTAACGATATTTTTTCCGTTTTTTATGCACAACTTTTTAAATAAATAAACTATAAATTAGATTCTCTAAAAGTATTTAAAATTTAAGCGCCTTGAAAATAGACTTATAGATTCCAATAATTTTTGCTTTGATGGTAGTATTTTGAAAGCTGAAAAAAACTTCTTAATGAAACTGTTTATGTCGAAAATTTAAGAAAATTTATAAAGATTTTAATCATAAATATTTCTGAAACAATCATAAACGTATTAGTGAAAATATATTTCTTTATACCTCATCCTCATTCCTTTATTATATTTATTACTAACAATAATATCGAAAGCATGCATGCACGCACAATGCACTGCAAAAATAAAATATACTTCTTTATATCTCATTCTTCTATTATATTTATTGCTATTAATAGCGCTGAATGCATGCATGCAAGCACAAAGCACTACAAACATTGGACATAAATCTACTCCAAAAAAAATTGTCTACTCCAATAAAAATAATCGAAATAAATATTTGTATAGTATAAAAAAACTTGATAAATAATTTAAAAGTATGCAATCAAAGAATTCAACAAGCAATTGTTCTTATTTCGGAGCGCCTCGCTGAGCTTCAATTCTCGACCCGAGTAAACTCGCCTTTCAAAAATCGCGATAATTCTCGCGATTCAGCCGTCTTTCAAAAATCGCGATAATTCTCGCGATTCAGCCGTCTTTCAAAAATCGCGATAATTCTCGCGATTCAGCCGTTTTCCAAAAATCGCAGCGATGTTCGCGACTCGGCCGTACTTCTATTGCCAAGTGACTCTCTAAGAAGTCAGCGTAGTGAGAAAGGGTGAGCGGTCTTAGAAAAAAAAAACTTAACTCGAATTAAATCAAAAAATAAAAAAAACGAAAATTTTTATTTTTTCCCAGCTGTAATCAATTCAGCAATGAAAAAACCTTCCTAAACGTTTTAAAAATTTCTTTTTCTTAAATTAAACAATTTGATAAAAATACTTTTGCCAGTTTATTAACAACTAAAACGCCAACTGAAAATGAAATGTAAAAATCAATATCTTTGGCAATAAGCCAGGCTTCCAAAAAAACGACGCCGGCCTTCCATCCCGGCCCCAGGTGTTTTGCTGTATTCTAATTATATTCTAATTACATACGATTTAGTTGTTGACAATTTATTAATAAAAAAATGATTTATTATTTAAATTTTCTTTCTTAGAAATAATCAGTAAATTACGATAGACGAAAAGCAAAATTAAAATGCACTGAAAAATAATACAACAAGTGACACAAAAACACAAACATATTGCACACTCCATTCCGATGTTTAATTTTTAATTTATTATTATTTATTGACATATAATAAAACATTAAATTCTCACTATATGAACTTTTTCAAAATTAAATCTCAAATTTTTGTGCATGCAGTAAAGTTGTCGAATTTCTATAGGTCACGATAATCTTGATGACATTTTCAATATCATCATCATGCTTCCTATACGATGCTCAAATTCAGTAAGCCTTTTAATGCAAAGCAAAGTAAAATAAAAAAATTAAAAATGTAAAATTTACCCGAGGTTCAAATAGTCGCACTTATATAAAAGAAAAGAAAACTTCAATAGAAAATGCACAAAAAAGAAAGCAAATTCAATTGGTCTACTGAAGCCATATTATAAAATCACTTAAAATTTTTCTTATAAGAAGCAAGTTACCGGCAAAAAATACCAAATACCACCTTCAATTTCACAAACAGATAAAAGAAATTGAAATTCCAACCGAATAAAGAACATCCCAACCGAACAAAAAATGAACCAAAATTACAAAAAAAAATAAAAATAATACAACGAAAACCTACATATATCCCTTATTAAAAAATTCTAAATATTTCTCATATATAAAAATCTTAAACAGTGTCCAATACATATTTAAACATAGAAAAATACGTTGTATGAAATGTCGTTCATTGCGCAAAGCCAATTCATTCACAGATCGAATACAACAACGACTCATCTGCAAATATACTATTAACTTTTCCGTTAATTATTGTCTAAATGGATATAACAACTACGGAGGTATAAAAGTGTTATATGTGAGATGTATGTAAATAAAAAAAATTTATGTAGTACAAAATTTCTAAAAGCAGCGATAAAATTGATTAAGATTAGCATAATTTGAGCTCATTACTTATTGATTATGACAACCATCATTCTTTATTAAAAATTTCATATTTCCTTAGGATTAGAAAATTCTTAGATGTTCGATAAAACTTTAAACCTCTTTTTTAATAATCCTCTTATACAAATATTCCAATGCTTTTTTTTATTGCGATTAAGTATAAGCACTTACTATCTCTATTCAAACTAGTTTCGCTTGCTGTCAGTATGACCATAAAACTATGCCAGGAAATCTTGGTGACAGAAATACAAGTGACACCATTAGGAATTTTTAATGACAGATTTACTGCTATGGGAGTCAAACCTTTGCTTCTCAACACGATGATCTGGGCCATTATCCACCACACTGCTCTCTTTTTTCATTATTAACGCAAAATGGATTCAAAAGAATTCAAACGGATGAAGGAATAACTATAGATCATTAAAACTTTCTTTCTTTCTTTAAATTCCTGCCTTAAATACAATTAACATCACCCATATATTTCAATTCTTATATAATTATAATATAATTCTTTCACATATCTTTCAAACATACCTGTATAAAAGCATCAATTCTATTTTGAGTTCCAAGACGATATTCGATACTTCTCAACAAATCATTTGTTTTTAGAATTAGTAGCATTGGTCGAGGCATTTTATGAAGAACTAACGAAATCTGAGGGATCAGTGAAGCGGCGTATGCTTTGATTTCATTACGCTGAAATAAAAGTGAGATATGCTTTCTAAACGAAAAAAACGATACCAAATCATATATTCTTATAAAACTTATTAAACACAGAGTTTGGTTTGACCAAGTATAAAGTAAAAGTAATCAAACCTCCTCTTCATCCACGGATGATTTACTGATTCCTCCTGTTACTGCTTCCCAAGAGCGACTAGTGACCATGCAGGCAAATAGCCCATATGAATCGCCAACTCCCATTTCTTGTGCGATATTCTATAAAACAACATTTTAAATAATTATTTTAAAATTATTTTAAATAATAAATTCATTTCATCAACTTTTTTCTTCCATCTGACTGCTCGAATTATTCAAAAAAATTTCCACAGTTCAGCTTTACCTTAATCTCATCCTGATCAGGTTTCAATAAAGCTAGCCAAAATTTCGCATATTTAACTCGAAAGTCGTCGCGCAGTGTCTATAAATTTTTTTTTATTTGAAGAATATTGAAAGATTATCTTTTCTGTTAAAAGTTCTGCACATTATGGTTTAAATGTACGGAAAATTTGAACCCTTTCTCGCTATGGAAAATTAAACAGATTTTATGGCCGAAAACTACGAATTATCGAAGAAAAATATAAGAAAAAATATAAGATGTAATTTATTTTCCTATTGAATTTGAATAACTATAAAAAACTTACAAGATAAAGACCATGATCAAGTAAAACAATGGAAACATTTCCATCTTCTTTTTTATTTATCAACACATTACCCGGATGTGGGTCACAGTGTATATAACCATTTACAAATATCATTTCACTGTATAAAGTCCCTAGTTTTTTACAGACCTGAAGCATTAAATTGATTTTTTCCGTAAAAGATTAATTGCATTTATAAAGGAATTAAATAAATTATATATCGTTAGAAAATCTACTTAAAAAAAGTTTGTGGCTACTGTAAGCGATTTCCTTTTACTTTCCGATTTATCGAATACCCTTCTGTTTTATTGAAAAGTGGAATGTTTTAGTCAAAATTAATAAAATTCAACTCCACGAAATTGAAACATCAAAAGTGAAAAGATGAATAATATACATCATGACGGTCGATATTATTCTTGATAAAATAATTGAGATCATTAACTTGCGCACCTTCACAATATTCCATCGTGAGTACACGATCAGTTGTGTAGTCATAGAAGATTTTTGGTATCTGAAAAATGATTCACACTGGAATGATATATAATTTACAGAGAAAATCAAATGATGATATAACACATAGTTTTCAAATCTTTTGCGCTTAGGCACTCTTTATATTCCCATATACGATTAAAAATTCCAAAAAAATTAATATTTAATTAAAAATCAAATCCTTAAACTCTTAAGGATATAAGAATATTATTATGAGAATAGGTTTTGATTTCGCAGCCCTCTTAAAGGAACTTGATGAGTTTCCGAAGTCCATGACGGCACTTTGGTTAACCGTTGATATAACATATATACAAAACAAAATGAATAAATAGGTCGTGAGATAGTACCTTTAGAAAACTCAAATGGCTAAACATTCGTCGAACCCGATCAGCATTCGACGCTTCAATCGTAAAATCTAGCTCAGTAGGAAGATTACGTTTCGTTTCTTCCATGAGCCATAATAGATGAAAATCGGGAAATATTTTGGCAACGGCTTTTGTGAGAACCTTAAAAATGAATTAGAAATTGGAATTTTTGAGAACAATCCTTATAATTTCGAGTAAATGAATTCTCAAGGAAATGATTTATAATTCTTTTCTTTATCTAAGTGGAAGACAGATAAGAATAATTTTCTCATGCTTATACTACTGCAAGCAAAAATAAACCTCCATGGAAGCAATATCCACAATACTATGAGCTTTTACACGGGGATGTTGGACCTTCACTGCAACCTGTTGACCATCACGAAGTTTTGCTCTATATACTTGAGCCAAGGATGCAACTCCAAGTGGATGTTCGTCGAACTCAACGAAAACGTCTTCCAGCTGAAATAAATGCGCTATATAAAAGAAGTTTTACTATATTATTTAATCGATTATAGAAAATTTAAAAGGGAAGAACAGAACAGTAATGTCGAAGGCAAACTTAAAAATCTTACCTTACAATTCAAATCCTTTTCAATCACCTTTTTGACATCCTTCATATTGCTTTCAGGAGCTTTAGAATGCAAAACACTTAATACTTCGACATATTCTGCAGGTACGAGATATTCAAGAGCAGCTAGATGTTGACCAACCTAAATTTGTTGAATAAACGCAAAAGGATTTAAAATTACCGTAGATCCATAATTATACGTAATGATCAAATGTTGCAAAAGAAAACTGGAACTGAACTAGATTTGCAGTAAAATCTCGACTATCCGAATATCATACATCGTTGAAACGAATCGGAGACCAGCTAAACTAAGAATGAAACAGAAATTGAATTTATAGCTAATTAATGATGATATAATAAAATGAATGTATCCCAAATAATTTTAGTCAGAACATTACCACTTAATGATTTATATTAATGAAATTTATCTCAATTTTTCTTATTTAATCCCCTTTCACTCGTAGCTACTTTATCCCTAATTCATTATGATTCATTATGATTTAATATTTCATCCAATTATCCAATTCCGATAATCAATCAAATCATAATTATTATTAGTAATTAGGTCATCTAGGCTAACAAATCATTATATATGGAGTAAATGAAGATAAACAAATGGATAAAAAACAAAATAAGAAAAAAAAATGAAAGATGTTTTAGGTTTCAATAAAAGTAGACTGGTTTCAATAGTAAAAGTAGACTGACTGATGAACTCTTTTAAACCAAAACGCTATAAAGTTTACTCACTGCCATAACCTAATATAGTTCGTAACAAAATAAAAACACATACTTTGATGTATACACCTCCATTTGCACAAGCTAACCTAAGAAGACGCTCTGCGCTTCGTCTATGAGTATTACTAATCATTTTTCGATACTTATCACCCTCTGTATAATGTCGCATTGTTAATTTATAATCAACAATTATTTTTGAAACCTGAAAGAATAAAAAATTTTCTAGGATAAATTTATTTGCAATAAAATAAAACAAATTATATTTATACATTTAAAAAAAATTTCTAATTAAAATTATTCATAAAAATAAAATTTCTTAAAAAAATCAATTGGAAAATTTTTTTTTTAGAAAAAAAAAGAAAAGATTTACTGCAATTCCAGCTCGAGCTAATCGAACTAAACCAATTGATGATATATCATAATCACATTGATGTAAAAAATAAAACGAAAGACCGGCAGCTGATAAAGTTAAACCACACGAAACACTACGAATAAATCCCCTCGATATGCGCCGAAACATTTCTTTCCTCCTTTCTTACAATTCACTAAAATTTTCGAATTTCTAGAAATGAAACAATATTAATTTCAATAATATTTATAATACCTTCTACTTCAAGCAGTGGTTATATATTATTGTTGCTTTGACTCCACTGATTCTATTAAAATGGTACTTCTATCGCTTACAATTAGTGCAACAAGTCTTACCAAAAACGACGAATACTAATCATTAATTAACTGATTGTTTAGGTGAATGAGACTCTTTTCGCTAAGGAACTACTTAATTTAATGATATATGTATCACCTGGTAGGCTCATTGCAAACATTAACTGAATTTCTGGTAAGAGAAAGGAATCGAATTCAACAAATCCTCAATAAACACATTTAAATAATAATTATAATCATTTTATTTATTTATTTATTTATTAAGAAAATAACTAAATATTCTTATTTTATTCTTTCTAAATCTTAGCTATTATCATAGAATTTTTTTCTTTTTTTTTCATCTATATTTTGTGGATGCTAGGCTTGATCAATTGATTTCTTGGGATCGAGCAAAACTTATCATAGAATTATCACTTGGCGATAGAAGTACAAATGAGCGAGTAGTACCAGTAATTTGAATTTTTGAAAGGCAGAATTTATTGCTGCCGGAATCGTGGCCAATATTAAGAAATAATTAAGTGAAAAAAAAAAAAATTTTGCCTTATTTTATTATTTTTGCGATGATAAATAGAAGATTCGTTAAATTTTTTTTTTCCATCTAAAATAAACTCAATCCATCACTTCTAAATAATAAAAAATTTAGAACGACCTAATTCATTTCGTAAAGTACCAATGATTTTCAAATTCTTACAATAGCCTTAAGCAGTTGTATATTCGAAGCGAAATCGGGATAGCCCCACCCCATTTTTCATATTCATTAGCCTGTATGACAATTGAGCGCCAGCAATACATTTTTACGGCAATAACTATTTATTGTATTACTGTACAAGTCAATTTCAATCCCGTTTTTTTTGGTTCAGATTGAAGGCCATATGCATTATATACGAAACTTGAACTCACTCACTCACAATTAACAGAGCGTAGTTTGATCATATCAGTAATCATATTGTCAAAAAAAAAGAGCGAGTTAACGCTAAACAAAATATTGTCGTTCCAAATTTGCATGAAAAAAAAAAGTTGATCATTTCATCAATTATTTATAATTTAATTTTAGTTCTTCTAAAAATTATTTTTTGAAAATTCAACATTTTAATTACGAATCGCTATTAAAAATCAATGCTTACAAGTATCCGCGAATGAGACAAAATCGCGAAAATATAATGAATTGCGCTATTATTGTAATTAAGGGAAAAGATTTCAAAGAAAAAGCAGGAAATTAAATTTTATTCTTTCTTTATCCGTTTTTTTTTAAAATTTCTTTTTCTAGAATATACTTTAAAGTATAAAAAAGTAACCTCTTTATTAATCTAAAAATTATTCCTTAAAAATTTTTATTAAAATTTTATTTTAAGTAAAATCTATTCAATTTATTTTCTCAGCAAAAATCTTTTAACCTTTGAACTTTAACCTCATTGATATATTTAGTAAATAATTCTTAAATTAAACGAAGTGGTGAAATTTGATGAAAACCTATAAAGTATATAATAAATCGGCAATTTTTTGAATTAATTTAATGTAATTGAGTCAATAAAATTTTTTTTATTGTAACCGGAAGGAAAATAAAAATCGAAAATTTCGAAAAATCGGAAAAGCGGCATCTTTTTTTTTTTTATTTAATAAAATTTTAATTTAAAAAATAGCCAATTCATTGAAGTTAGAATTGCATTTTTTTTTTCGTTCAAAACCTTAACAATTATCATTAACAAACTTAGTTTTGGCTAATTTATTTCGAAGCAATAATTTAGAAATGTCGCTTTAATTTAATTTTGCAATAATAAAAAAAAGCTTAGAAATAAATTTGATTCTTCTGATATAGCAATCCTAGAAAATATTTTAGAAAATTCCCTTTCAATGAGCAAAGATTTATATCAACGACGAACGACGATGAAATACAAAAGAACTATCTGAAAAGTTGCTATCTCCCGCCAAACTTTTTTTAAATGAAATTGAAAGATTTTTAATAAAAAATGATATTTATGATATAGTGAAAATGACTGATAGCAACGTTATCACATTATCAGTCTTCGTCTCACATCTCTTTTTTTTAGCCTTTTAACGTGAAAGTTTAGCGAATTCTCTCTTATTGCTGCTTTGAAATTAAGCAGCTCATTCATTGTTTAAGATTTTATCAGTTTTTTTTTTGATGCATGATATATCATTTTATAAAATTTTCAATTACAGATAGCATTCAATAAATTTCGGCCAATTTTTTCTATTTTCCATTAATTTTAGGAATTTATAAAATTCGTTTGAATTTGTCTAATCGGCAATCGAAATGCAAAAAAATTATAATAATGATAATAAAAACCTTCAATTAGTTATCAATATTTTTTGTTCTAATAAATAAATAAATTGAAAAATTGATCGAGCATTAAAATTTTATCAATTGTTTTATCACATTATTCAGTGAGTTTATGAAAATTTTATCATTTTAAAATTTTAAAATTTTAAAATTATCAAAGATTTCAATTAACACTGATAATTGATAATATTGATATATACATATATATCAAATAACTTTTAACACCACTAATATTACTTTGGTATTACTAATGTGCAATGATTTCTCATTATTTAAAATATAACCTGAGTATTATAATTAATGCTCATAAGATGAACATCTTCAATGAATATTAAATTTCAATTCATCGTTTAACTGAAAAGAAAAAGTGCATTGGTACTATTTGAATTCGAAGTTCACGAGTTATTTTGAAATAAAGAAGACCATATTCGATCATATGGAATGTAGGAATTAATTTTAATTGATGCTAGTGTCATGAATTTTTCAAATGAAAAATATAAAAGCGATTAATCAAAAAGTTTATTTTGATAAAATCTAATGAGGATAGGTGAAATCGGAACGTGAAAACACTTCAAATTATTGATAGAGATTCTATCATTATAAATCTGGAATTAAAATGGCCTTGAAGGATTCTTCATCGTGTTTCTTGCACAAAAATTCTCCTAGATCGTTATCAAGTCTCTAAAATTCGGCGATAAGTGATATGGTGGTCAAATCATGAACGCCGTTCTAATCATTTTTTGCAGTCCAACGTTTGATTATTGCTGTTAATTGTAATAAGTTTATTTCGCTTGTTCATATCGAAAATATAAAAAGTAAGTTGTGAATAAGTATTTCTTTTCATTTTAATCTTCATACTTATGTAGGATTAAATCTTTTGCATGCAAGATTTTGCTAATAATTTTTATAGCTTTATTTCAGTTGTCCTTAAACCCTTAATATATAATAATTATATTTGGCTGATGGGTCGTAGAATGGCTTAGTGAATTATTGGAGCTTAGTTGATGATGAAATTCTATTCCCCAGAGAAGTAAGCCTGTCCATAAATCAGGGATGTTGGCGATTCATCTATACTTTTATCGCCAAGGAACTCTCCGGCATATTTGCCTAGAAGCCAGCTGAGCGAGTCTAACCAGTGATGGTGAGGACTTTTAAAAAAATTAATTTTTGATATATCTGTGACTTTACTTTAGGTTAATATTTCTGAAACTATTTAAATATCACAAAGATCGTTCGACTTATTTGTTTAGATAAACTCAAATTTGTTGGGTATAGCCAACAAATTATCTTTTAGGGCTATAAGCAAACAAAAAATCGGAAGATATTATTTGAATTTAGAAATTCACTGATTTTTTTTTTTGACTTCATTTGGATATTTATGGAGATCGGTTTTCATTGTGGTGGATTTTCCTTAAATAAATAAACGAAAAAAAATGGCAATAGCATTTGATCTAGTTTTAATGTACTGATTATATTTGCTTTAAATATTTCTTCAATTTTTTATTTTGAACTCTAATTTCAGTTTTGCGATTCAAAATTTAGGCTCTAAAATCGTAAATATATTCCAAATTTTAATTTATTCTTTATAATTTTAGCATAATATTTTATATATTAATATATATATTATATTAATATATTAATTAATATTAATATTAATATATATTATATTAATATTTTAAATATAGCTATTATTTGATAATTATATGTTCTAAGTCTAATTGTAAAATTATCATTTGTGGATTAGTGGATAGTTTTTATTAAAAATTGCCTTCTTTAGTGAATCTATCATCAATGCTGATACAAAGGTTGAATAGTTGTGGCTTATGTGCGATAAGAACAATTCCATCATCAGTATCAATAGGTTAAAAATTTGAAAACTATTGAAAATTTCGCAAATTTTTTACAATTTTTCAGTTATTGAATTAAATTAAAAGTGCATCTCTTTATTACTCTAATGAGTACTTTAATTTCTTTACATATTTTAATTTTTCATAGATTGAAATTCTAAAAATGAATTGTTTTATTATATATCTTAGAATTGACAGGTTCCACTTCTGAAGCAGAAATATACGGATGCCCATCGTTTGGAATGATTTCCAATCTTGCATTATCGCACTTTTGGCCTTATCAAGCATATAATTTAAATTTATGTATAATGGATTCTGTGGCTGAACGGAATCTAGAAATGGAACAAGAATCCACGGAATTGATGAGTGCGAGGATTAGTTGTCCATCATGCAATAAAATATTTGAGTCTAAGAAAGATTTACAGGTAATGTTGCCATCAATAGAAAAATATATATTAAAAACAATTTAAATCAAAATCAAATCAAAAAACTTTTATTTCTTAAGAAACAAAACTAATTAAAATTAAAATTAAAATTTTAATTTGCATAATTAAAATTTTCTTTTTAGAGTTCTTAGATGAGTTTGTTCAACTGACTGTAGAATGAGAATATCACTTGAGAATAATAATACAGGTGGTACTCCTGAAACATTATATTTTTGATAAGCATTACTACTATTAGAGGGCAATAACCGAGCCCTAATGCCCTATCTAAGCAATAAGCAATATCCTCTACATACTTTATTGAGATTTCGATTTTTTGAAGTGATTTATCGGATTGAAGAGATAAAGTTGTCGTTTCGAATTCTGTAAAATTGGGCATTGTACTAAATCAAACTAAAAATATATTAAAATAAAATTTGATCAAAATAATAATAATAATTAATACTTACTAAAAAGCAATATATGGAGTGGAACCATAAGTAAAAATGATTTTCAGGAGCACATAACAAACCAACATGAAAGGCGACATGACTGCAAACAATGTAGAAAAAGTTTCACTTCTCAAAAACGGCTAAATGTTCATGAGATCAAAAAACATTCATGTTAGAAAAATTCAATTCAATTTAATTTTCGCATTTATTATAAAATCATATGCAAAATCGATCTTCTATATCGGAGAATTAAGATTGTTTTACTCTCCAAAATAAATCCATCTTTCGAAATTTTTAAATATCGACTAATCTATCACCAAATGAACAATCGCTAGCAAAATTTACCTACTCTAGCAAATTATTGGATTCGACGAAAAACGATAAGTATCCTTAGAAAAATAAGTCTTCCTATATCATAGCGTTTAATTTGAGCTTCAAGAGAATTGTAAAATGAAAAATGTTTATATCTTTATTTTCACTAATCTATTTGAAATTTCTCTTATAAGTAATAAAACATATTATCGTTAAAAGTATTCATATTTAAAAATATTATTTCAAGAAAGAATCCATAAGCTTCAGGAAAAACCGGATAACTAGCGATTTTTAAGGCATTAAAAGGCCAAAAATCGCTAGTTATCCGGTTTTGCATATTTGCAAATATGTTCATAAAATTTGCTATATTTCACAAAAGAAAAATAGAAAAGATCTGAACGAAGAGCTAAGTAGATTCAGATTTTCACGTTAAAAGTTCGGCTCAATGCTCTTAACAGTTCAGTTTTTATAGTTTTACGCCAGTTCAATTTCTAATTTGCCAATTCGAAATTCGAAAAATCTTAACAGTAGTAAATTTCTAATCAAACAAATCCGCTAAATTCCTACGACCCTCTATCTGTATTGCTTCTATTGCAAAATGCCTCACTAGGAGAAATTTCTAACAATACAAATAATCAGTGCAGTGAATCTAATCAGGAATGATGAACGCTAACTGCTTATTTACTTATTCCTTAATTCTTGCACTTTCTATTTATATTTGAAATTACATTAATAGCTATTTATTTACAATAGTAATAAAATCATATTCAAGCTTTATTATTTATTGTTTTTTTTTTATAGTTTGTCTATTAAATTAATTTTTATTATTGATTTTTAGAAAATTAATTTTTATTAATAATTAATAATAATAAAATTAATAATTAATTTTTAAATTAATTTATAAATTAATTATTATTCGTTCAACTTTTCGCTTTTTGAAAAAAATTTTATAAATAAATCAAAAAATTTAATAAAATTTATATTTTATTATTATTAAATTTATATTTAATAAAAAATAGAATATGGAAATTTGATCATTAAAATTATTTATTAAATTTTGCAGTTTTGACTGATAAAATTCAAAAAGAAAAAGCGAAGAGAAAAACTTTTCGCTGTGGTCAATGTGGACGTACATACGAGACTTTTTATAATTATAAGGAACATCTTGCAAAACACGATGGTAAACTCTTTGAATGCTTGATCTGCAAAAAGCAACTTTCCGGACAAAGCGCATTAAGCAGTAATTTTTTCATTTTGATAAAATTTTGCATATCTCACTTATCACTTACGTTTTTCAAGCATAAAAATCTCGTTCAGTGATAATTTTAGAATATTAATCATTACTGGTTAGACTCGCTCCGCTGGCTTGTCAAACTAGACATATATTTCACGATGTTGCTTAGCGATTAGAGATACAGGTGAATCGCCAACATCACGCGGTTTTTTTGATAGCTTTACTCCTGCTGGAACTACAACATCGGTGCTCCAAGTTGAGCAGAAAACTCACTGAGCTATTCAATTCTCCACTTCTCCATTATTTGACTCTATCTGCTTGACGAAGTGTAGTGAGGCGGCTGAATTCGAACCAAGCCTTCGGTTGCCTTTGGCAATTATTTCTCCACTAAACCATCGATGATAAACCTAACTGTAATCTTCTCGCCGTCGTCGAATGTTTTTTTTTTACAGAGTTCCTAGTTTATATCATAAAAATCCATGAATTTATTTTCAACTTTTCAAATAAACTTTTAAAATTGAAATTTTAAATATTTTTTAAAATTTTCAGTTTTAAAATATTTATTAAATATTTATTAATTTTCTTCGCCTAAAAGTTTTGAATAAATAAATTAACATAAAATAATCATAAAAAACACTATTTGCTACTATTTAAATAAAATAAGCAAATATAATTCGAATTTGATTTACATAAACTTCCAGAAAATCGGCAATCATAGAAGATTTGTAAGATTTGTGAGTTTTTGATAAGCACTACTACTATACAATATAAATTTCTAAGTACTGCTCACTTGCATAACAAATAAATATCACTAATCTAAATTATTGATAAATCTTGTTTTAGGACATTCAAAAATCCACGATAAGCCGCATGAATGTGTAATATGCTCAAATCGTTTTAGTTCGACGTATGATCTCGACTGCCACTTTAGTTATTATCATTCAACTTTTAAACGATTTAAATGCGAATATTGCGATAGAGTTTTATATAACTATTCCGGAAAACTTCGACATGAAAGGCTTTGTGTTCGTAAAAAAATTGGAATCGAACAAAAATCATCGATTAATGATCCAGAAAAGTTTCAATTAAAATCACAAAAAATCGAACAATTGCCTAATGAATCGAAAACAAATTTACCTCAATCATTAAAACAAAGAGAAGTGACAGAAGGTGGCCGAATAAAATTTCATATAATGGACATTCTCAGTGATATTCCTCATTTTGATGCGAAAAATCAGAAGGCAACTAATTCTTGATAAGCATAAAGGTATACAAATTTTGGATTTCTTCAATGCCATTCGTATTATTTCAATAGTTCCTCTTCCTTCTCACGCAAACTAGTATAGTTCCAACGATCTAACCAGCTTAGTCGACTAGTCGACTAGTATATCTACAATTATGCTTAGTACGCAATCTCCCTAATGGCCTTTGCTATTTTTATAAATTATGTTCGAAAAGATAGCAAGGGAGTATATACCGTATATTATACTGTAATCACATCAACAGGAAAGCTCACTATTAAGAGTCAATATTTCTAAAAATAGAACAAATTATCATAAATTATGATTAATTTTAATAATTTAAAATTTTTTTTTTAAAAAAATCTCCTATTTTTTCATTCAATGAATTTTTAAAATGATAAGTTTTTTTATGATGATATGGTGATAATTTTGAAAAAACAAAAATAATAGTTTATAAAAGCTTCATAAAGAAAGACATATGAATACATAGATGATTATTTATTTTATTATACAAATATTATTTTATTTTATTGCCTAAATTCTAACAATTTTTTCTTTCTTTTTTTTGCAGCTTTCAAAATAACAATTCAACGTCGATCGTTGCAGCTTATTATGTGAACTTTTTTTTAAAAAAAAATAAAAAAATAAAAAATAAAAAAAAATACTACTTCATTAAATATATTAAGATTTCTATCATTTATCAATAATTCATTAATATCATTGATTAAAATGCAATGCTACGATGTTTATTTGTGCTTCTTTAGGCTGTTATCCATTTAACTACATTATATCACTACATTAAATGGCATATAATAAAATCGAGTAATTGCATCGCATTATGACTGATTTTGACTTCTTATTTTTTTTTTTTTCTTTCAACTTAATGATGACTTACTTCCTGTGATTACTGGTACTTAAATATCCTTCGAGTTGATTCATTTCTTTTTTTTTTCTTTTTTTTTAAATAAATTTCTTTTGTATTTGCCATTCCATTAAATTTCGGGTGATATTCTGCTTCTAATTTTTTTTTCATAATAAAATAATAAAATTATTTAAATAATTATTACATATATAAAAAATATGATTCATTTCATGTTAAACTAAATAAATATTTTTTTTAAAATATCGAATTTTGAGGAAAAAAATAAAATAAAATCAGATTTAGCCTTTGAATCTGAACCAATTCGTTTTTTATTTCTCTTTCATGTATTTTAATCTTCACAATAATGAAACAATAGAAAAGTATGTGATATGATAAACGTCATCAATGTTTGATAAATATATTGAATATATTCTATTTTATACAAAATATCTTCAATCTACTAAAAATTGTTTTATTTGAGAATTTCTACAAAAAATAAATAATTCAATAGTTCGATGTTCTCAATAGGTGATGTAGCAGAAACAGAATGAAACATGCAGAAAAAAAAAAGCCGAAATTTTAATAGAAGACAAGAGAAGTAGGTAATGCGAATTGCATGAGCCTTGTCCATGATCATCTTGCTTTTTTTATTTGCTATATTTATTTAGATTATAACAATAAGTAAAAAATTGGATAAAAAAATTTTAAAATATCTCTTTTCAATATTCATTCGTGAATCCATAATTGGCCCATATCAAATTATGTCCGCTTCAATAAATTTTTTCGTTTTTCTTATTCAAAGATTTTGCAACATTTTTATGAGATTCATTGGCAATCAATGGTATTAAATTTAAACAGAAATGATAATATGGTAATTGCTGTAATAATTTAATAGACCTATTTTTCTTCTAACAGTTCAAAAAATTTTTTCTTTGGCTTACACATTTGGCTTATACATATTAGAATATCATTTATTTTACTATTATTATCATTGTTATTAATTATCATAAGCCATCGACTCGGTTCGTGGTTTCATCAATTTAGAAATCTTAGGTTTTATAAAATCGTATGATCATCTTCGTGATTTTGCCTATATCCACCTTGTCGTAGGCTTTCCTCGTTGTCTGCTTTTTTTCCGATGAGACCAATCTATTTATTTTGTGTTCCGCCTTAGGCATGTTGTCTATTTTCATCTATGCCCATATTTCCAGGATATATCTATCGATCCAATAACATTTATTTATTACTGTACTAAATTTCATATATATATATATATATATGATATATTGAAAGAAATATGATCGGCTGGAAGAAGAATGGGAAAAAATTTGAAAAATAAAGGCCAATATAGTTCGAGTTTCCATTAGGTAAAGTAAGCAAAACTGAACTAAAAAAGTGGCTTCAACAGATTTTAGGAACAACATCGGAGATCTCTGTGCAGAAGAGCGCACCGCTAGAAACAACTAAGATACTCTTCAGAACCTTCAAGTCTTCCAGACCTCCGGTAGAAAAGCCGAAGTTGAGAATTATCCATCCCAACCAAAGAGAGTAACAAAGGAATTTTTCCTCCGATCTAATTTGGATAATATTTTTAACAGAGCGATTATCAACCGTATTGCAATGTGAAAAATAAAATGTTGCGTTTAAGCAATTTATGCATGAAAATATGCTCCATCATTAACGATCTATGAATATTTCATTCAATAAATTAATTGCTAAATTTGCTCCATTTTATTATTAGAAGAATTAATTATAGCTTAGATAATTGTTTCAAGGCAATAGTCCTTAAAAAAAAATACGAATGGTTTTTTCCTCATATTTCTCGCTATTCATTGTATAGTCAAGTAAAAGAGGGCAGATTAGTGACAAGATATATCATTATCAAAGGACAAATATCATGAATGATGCTATTATGCATGAGCTCACGCCTAAAAGGACTTAACACTTCGTTTGTTTCAGAAAAGAAGCTATAAAACTCGCAATCGTATTGCTCAAAAGATATGAATTATGGATCTGTGGTCATTCAAATCTGTGAAATATCTTAAATTTGTGACCATTAAGAATTTTTTCCACGGATTCCATAGATGGTATCATATAATTCCATGAATCTCTAGTAGAACAATTTCGTTTGAATTTGAATTCTTTTAACATAAAATGTCATAAACGTCAAATTATAAAATATAGTTGCAATGATTTAAATTATAAATTAATTTGCTTTAAATAGAAAAAATGAGACCCTTAAGCACTCTTTAAGAGTGGAACCTCTGGACTCAGAAGATCCTTAAAGTTGCATCGTTTGATGACCATTGATTTAAATAAATATCCAATATATATTTAAGAAAATAAATGATTTGTTTTCTTTGGAACATCCATAATTTCATCGAACACTTCGAATGATTGTTTGTTTTAGGGTTATAAAACATCATTTCTGAAAAAAATTCATCTATAATTTTCGATTAAATTTTATGATTAAAAATTTTAAGTAATAAAAAGAAAATTTATTTATCAATTTTAATAAGAAAGAATTTTTTTTAGATATTTTATTTATTTTATAATAATAAGAATTTTATATTGCAAAATAATGATTGAACTTTATCTCTTTTTTATCCATTTTATCTAAATTTTTACTTGAAAAAAAATTTATTCTCGGATCTCATTTGTATGATAATAAAGCTTTTTTAAATGATGGGATGTTAGCATTAAAGCGAATAATCATCATCGTCTGTAACGAAAATTTAAATGAGAAATGAGGAATTTATTTAAATATCGCAAAAAAAAAGAAAAATAAATAAATATTTTAAATTAAAAAAAATACTTTTTAACAATAATTTATATTTATATTCATTGTATTTATCAATGAAAATTTAGTTTTAACAATTCGATTTTGGAAAAAATTATGAAAATTTTCGATGTAGAAATTTATTTCATGCATTGTTAATTTTGCAATGTTTACAATTTTACAAACAAATGAAGCTTAAAAATTTCTTGTGAATAATTTTCAGAAAGAATTTCCATTTTTTCGCTTGTTCACATTCGTAAAACTCTACGATAAATAAATATTTTTCTATCAAATTTCACTTATTTTGCTAAGTTTTATTTTATTAATCAAATGGTACTTCATAATCACCATTATTTTTACTTTTTTTTTCATTTTTTTTAGTTTTATCCAATTTTTTGTTTAATTAGATTCATAGGATTTTGTTTTGTCTTATTCAGTTCATATATGGCGAGTGGTTGGTCGAGTTTCATGCCGATATTTTACCAGAGAACATTAATTCAATTCTTACCTCATGATATGATTAAACCTATTATTAAAATATCAGTTGGTGGATATCACTCAAGTGAGACTTTCGACAAAAGCGAGATTATCACTCTTGTTTAAAATTCTTAACATTCTACGTCATAGTACCGCGGTACAACTTAGTACCATTCAATATCAGTCATTGGAGTCAATGAAAAACGCCAGAAATAGTGCATTCTATTAGACGAATTTCATATGTTAAAAATTTTAATAAGAAAGCGAAAAAATTTGAAACGATTCTCCAGTAAATTTTTCATTTACTCAAAGTTATTTATTTAGAATAAACCTAAGGCTAATTTTTTTTTCTTTTTAGGCAAATCATCGCCTGAGGCTTTATTTCATTCGATCGAATTTCATTATAAATTTATTATGCTTTAAATTTAATTTCAAATTTGTTTTTTTCTCAATTTTTCATGTAAATTTTCCTTATTTTCCTTAAGCAATTTTTCATTGAATATATCACAAATAATCTTTTCTTTTTTTTATTTACTGCCTTATTGCATTCAAAAAAAATTTTTTTTCCTATCATTTGTAATGAACTCATTTTTAAATTGATCAACCTTTCTTCAGATTGATTTCGCCTATCATCAAAATGTACTTTCAATTATTCATTTTAGTATATTTATGAATGAAATTGAAATAAACGAATTTCATAGTGAAAAAAAATTTTTTTGTTATTAAAATATGAATATAAAAATATTTTTAAAAGATCGCAAAAATTTTCATTTAATTTGCAAATAAAATAAAATTGCTATTGAAATGAGATTTTTTAGTAATTTCGATTTATAAAAATAATACTTAAATAAATAATTTTAATATTTAAATTAATAAATAAATATATGCATTTTGATT